AAATGTTTAGGTGTAAATCTAATAAAAGCATGTATAGAAGTTAATATGCTGAAAACTGCACAATACTGATTAAAGAAATCAAAAAATATCTAAATGAATGGAGACATCCTGTGATCATGGATTGGAAGACTCAACATAGTAAAATGGCAAATCTCCTTAAATTGATATACAAGTTTAACATAATTCTTATCAAAATCCCAGCATGATATTTGTGTAGATATAGATAAGATTATTCTAAAATGTATATGGAATGACAATGGACAAAGGCAGGTAAAACAATTTTGAAAAAGAATAAAGTGGAAGCAACCAGTCTGTTTGATTTCAAGACTTATTAAATAGAGTAATTAATACTGCCTGGTATCAGTGGAGGTATAGACACATAGGTCAGTGGAACACAACAGACAACTCACATATAGACACAAATATGTCCAACTGATTTTCTTCCATTAACTCATTTTTGTCCAACTGGTTTTTGACAGAGGAGCAAAACAATTCAATGGAGGAACACCTTTACAACAAATACGGTGTTGGAACAATTGGACATCCACATGCAAAAAAATGAACTTATACCTAAGTCTCACATTTCAAAACTAACTCAAAATGGACCATGGACTTAAAAGTAAACCGTAAAACTATAAAACTTTTAGAAAAGAACATAAGATAACAGAGAAAATCTTTGGGATCTAGGGCTAGGCAGAGTTCTCGATACCAAAAGCATGATTCATAAAAGGAAAAACTGATAAATGAGACTTCAAAATTAAAAACTTTTGCTTTGTGAAAGACCTTGTTAGGAAGAAAAGACAAGCTACAGACTGGGAGAAAATACTTGCAAATCAATTTACGTATCAGACAAAGGACTAGTATCTAGAATATATATTTAAAAAAAAAACACTCAAAACTCAACAGTAAAAAAAAATAAACAATCCAATTAGAAAAAGGAAAAAAGACATGAAGAAACACGTCACCGAAGAAGAAATACAGGTGCCAAACAAGCACATAAAAAGATGTTCAACATCATTAGCCATTAGTGAAGTATAAACTAAAACCACAATAAGATATCGCTATATCCCTATCAAAATAACTAAAATAAAAAATGACACCACCAAATGCCGATAAGGAAGGGAAGAAATGGGATCATTCAAACATCGCTGGTGGGAATGTAAAGTGGTATAGCCACTGTGGAAAACAGTTTGGTGATTTCTTTAAAACTAAACATTCAACTACCATATGACCCAGTAATTGAATTACTGGGCATTTATCCCAGAGAAATGAAGGTTATGTTCACACAAAAATCTGCACACAAATGTTTATTGCAACTCTAATCGTAATAACCCCAAACTGTCCAGATGTCCTTCAGCGGCTGAATGGTTAAACAAACTGTGACGCATCCATACTGTGGAATGCTACTCAGCACTGAGAAAGGAAGGATCTATTGATACACTTGATACACTCAACAACCTGGCTGAATCTCCACAGAATTGTGCGGAATGAAAAAAGCTAATCCCAACAGGTTACATACCGTATGATTCCAGTTATATAACATTATTGAAATAATAACATTCTAAAAACGGAGAGCAGACGATGGTTGGCAAGAGTGAAGGAGGGGGTGGAGAGAGGAATAAAGTGGGTGTGGTTACAAAAGGGCAACAGCAGGGGTCTTTGTGCTGGGAAATGTTCTGTATCTTGACTGCATCACTGTCAATATCCTGGTTGTGATACTGTACTACAGTTTTGCAAGATGTTACCATTGGGAGAACTGAGTGAACGGTACATGGGAGGGAGCTCTGTGTTGTTTCTCACAACTGCATGTGAATCTACAATTATCTCAAAATAAAAGTTTAATTTAAAATACTAGCATTAAACATATTTTATACTTGAAAGAGATTGGGCTCTTTATCTTGTATCCATGCCATTCCAAAGGCAAGCATTGGTCAACTGCCTCCATTTCAGTTTAGTGCAACATAGAGACCTCCTAAATTACTGAGAAAAATGTTTGATCATAAATCAGGAAAAGACACAGAGACAACAGAGTAGCCCTAATTTAGAAAAAATAATCTCCTATTGCATCCAAGATAGAATTTAAATGATATATGAGGTTATCTTACTAAATTTTGGTATCTACTCCACCACAAAATAACAACTAAATGTTAAAATCATGCTAACGTTTAGGGAGATTAAAACATTAAATTTGGCACTGGAAAGAGGTCGGATGTGGTGAGGTCCACTAGAACGTCTTTGAATGAACTTAAAATGACATAGCATCTGCATTTGGAAAAAGAATGAAATAAAATAGAATATTCTCCACTTGATTATAATTTGGCTTTTTGTTTCTAGAATCATTACTGATGGAAGGCTTAGCTTTGATCTGAAAGCTTCTCATGGGGGCCGGCCCCGTGGCTTAGCGGTTAGGTGCGCATGCTCCGATGCTGGTGGCCCGGGGTTCGGATCCCGGGCATGCACCGATGCACCGCTTCTCCGGCCATGCTGAGGCCGCGTCCCACATACAGCAACTAGAAGGATGTGCAACTACGACATACAACTATCTACTGGGGCTTTGGTGGAAAAATAAACAAATAAAATGATGAAAGCTTCTCATGATCAGGTCTTCAGCTATGCAAGTTACCAAGAGCTGGTATCTTGCTTGGGTTAAATCTCTCATTTCTCGAGATGTAAACACGGTTCTTCCAGTCTGGTCTGACTACAGTATTTCAGACTTACCGTTAAACAGTTGATAGGAAACTTTTAGAAGGCATTAGAAACTGAAAGTAGTACCAGTAAATCTTCTGTGAGGCTAAATCATTGCCTTTCTTAGGTTTTCACCAATGCTAATAGGTTTTGGAGTCAGCGACTACTGTCTAACGGTACTTACAGTAAATACTTAAAAATTTGTACTTCGGGTTTGCCAAAGTGCGAATTAATGCCCTTTCAAGTTTATTTAAAGACTGAGCTCCGTTCTAGAAGGCTCCCGCTACAACAAGCAGGGGTGTTGTGCGTGTACCGACGGCACAGGAAGTGTGGTTTGCCTTCCATCACTTGCATTTTAAGCAGCAATGCCATCACTGCACAAAACCTACAGGAATCCCACTCTGAGTAATTTAAGTGACCAACCTCTTAAAAACCTGCCAGAAGCAACAGTGTCTATAAAAACCTATTTAGTGGGTCAGTCCTTTAGTTCTATTTCTGCATTTAAAATTAGGATTATTTGGAAAAAAAAAAGATATTACATAATTTTCCTATTAACTCAATGATTGCCAAAACAAAGGATTAAAACTTACATATTGACACAGCATTTGAATTATGAGAAAATGGGTTAACATGAGCCATTAAGAGGGTGTATTTTATTCCCTTTTGATACCAAAAAGAAAAAAAGATTTGCCAAGGGATAGGGTAGGGTTAAATTAAAAACATTCTAAGGGACATTTTCCCAGGAGCATATGTGATGCATTGAGACTTTGGGTGCACTCTGAAGAAACAGGTTACAAATTTCCCTTGGCTCTTTCCCTTCTTGCCAATGCTCTGCCCTCTATGGGGAGCAATAATCTTGCAAACGTCAGTCCTGACTATCAGGACACCCTTGCTCTGAATTCAGATGCTGCCACCAAAAGAAGAAATGTCCATTTTTGGAGACATTACATACAGATCACCTTTCAAATTAGTAGCTACTCTTCAGCAAACTATCGATTTTCTAGTAGTCTGTTAACTAAAAAAATGAAACTGAGTTACTCGGTAAGGGGGAATAGGATACTAGGAAGCCAGCCCTTCAGAGTGAATGGTCCCCAATTCTAAGGTGCTTGGTGGTGGTCGGGAGAGTGATAAATCCCTCCTCACACATTCCCTCTCCTCCTGTCTCCTTCCTCTGTCACTCACTGTTTCTTCTTTCTAACACATCGAGTGCTTTTTATACAGCGAATGTCTAACTGCAAGCTCCCTGCGGGCAGGGACCATGCTCTTTGGTTCACTCTTATACCCTCTCTGCCCAGGCATGTCGCAGCCTGGCACAAAATAAGTGCCAAATTAAGTCAACCAATATTTATTGAGCAACTACGGAGGGAGTGGGGGAAGTAGGAAACCGCCAGGTGCTGGGGCCCAGAGCGTTCGCATATACAGACTTTGTTCTCCTTGGGAAAAGTGACTTACCATTTAGAAGCAGTGCTTCTAAATTTTTTCCCTCAAAGATCCCCTAATGGAAGGGAAGAGAATTCTGCACGGCTTTCTGCTTCCCATGTGCTTTCTCTGCACAGCGGTGTTCAGTAATGTGCTGTTAGCTCAGCATCACTGCCCCCTCCTTCTGTAGCGTCCTCTGTATAGCACGGAGGCCAGAAACTACATTTCCCAGAACCTCCTTCGCTTCCTGGTTCTAAGGCAGAGTGGACCACTGAGAGGCATTTCCATGACATTGGGAGGCCGCCCTTCCTGAGGCTGTTGCAACAGAAGGGCAGGCAGGCAGCAGATGTGGGCACCGCAGCAGCTTCAAGATCTCTTGCACGTCACCTGCTTTGGTGCTATCCACAGCCGAGACAGTTCCTTGAGACTCACCGGCATCAGAGCTGCCAGCTGAGATGACAGGAGCTCCCGATGTTTCCAGATTGGACCAGCTCCTGAGACCCACCCAAGGCGGTGCTGCAGAAGCACCTCCCTCGCCTGCCCTTCTGATGCTTGTGGAAGCTCCCAATTCCCCACACTGAAACCCTTCATGCTTCTATCAAGTGGCTGTTTTCCTGACTGAACCCTGCAGAAATGTTACAACTGTTTAAATCAGAACTAAGGGGGAAGTTTCCTACAGGTCTCATTAACTCAGTGAATGAGATGCTGCTTCACTGAATCTACTGACTTTGGAAAACCCAGCTGAAATGAAGAAAGATGACCCTGCATGCTTACATCCAGCCAACTTCTTTCCCGTTACAGTACTCAAACTCCTAAACTTGGGGGGGAAATGGTTTTCTCTTCACTAGTTCATGAACCATGTCTGGGCAGTTGTTAAGCAGAGACGTCACGTGTTCTGCCACAGAAGTGGTTCAGTGTAACAGTCTCAGCCTCCTGTTGGTGTAAATTTTGCTAAGTGTATTTCCTTGCCAAGAAGTCAAGCTGCTCAAATCTTACGGTGGACTGAAGAGGTCTGGGGTCACTTGTTGTAAGTGAATCATGAAAATACACAAACAACTTTTTTTTTTTCTTTCCAGGAAAGGATGCCTGATGATGTTCTTTACCATGAAATGAGGAATTTTCATCATATTTAAATGAACTAAAAATGTCATTTAACTCATAACTTATCCAAACGACTCTCTTCATCCCATTCTGAAATTTAATCTTTATTGCAGCAACCTGGTCATGTGTGAAAAACACAGCCAATTTTGCCTTTCAAAAAATAAATGCCAAATAAGTTACCCCTGTGAATCACTCTTGACTATTAAGGTGGACAAGGACTTTTTTTCTTTATACAGGTTTTGTCTTTTATTATGACATTCTTTTTTCTACAAGAAGAAACAAAAATTACACCAACTAGAAAAACTATTCTGCGCTTTCCCTGCTAAACCACAGACTAATTCTATGCAACAAGAAGCCTTCAAAAGTCATTTCTTTTTTCATTATAAATTTGTGTAAAGAACATTGGTATTTAAAACACTACTTTTTGTGTACAAAATTTTACCATTTTTAACAAAAGCGGTGAAGACTTTGCAGGACCCAGGGGCAACCTTTTCAAGGTGCAGTGTTCTCAGCCCCCGATACCGACGCTGCTGCTGGGCATCCAGTGTGTTCAGTGGGCCTGACTCCAGGGCTGTGTCCACGGTCTCCTGTCCCAGACCAAGTTCCACCTGTGCCCACATCTATATTTTTTCAGAGTTGATCCTGCCTACTAAAAGGCAAACCGTATTATGTTGAAACGGCACCAGTTCTTCTTTTACCATCAACCACTGTGCAAAATGAAAACATTTTCATAATATTTAATGAGCAGAACAACAGCCAAACACCCTCATGCCACGATGTCATTCAATTTAAGCAAAGAGTCTGGTTAATCTCAATTGGTGTCATTCAAGCATGTCTTTGGAGCACACACTGAAATGAACAATATAGAATAAGAAGATAAGGAACAATAAGATAAGGAATCTTCTTCAGTTTACGACTCTGTGTGACTCAAACAGGTTCCGATATGTTGTCAGTCATGAAAACAACTCTAATTTTATTTTTCATGGTGTGAACGTCATCTTTCAAAGCAAGATTCTAAAACTAACCTAAAGGAAAACTTAGAATTTTTAAAATTTGGCTATTATACTGTTTTCCATTTTATTTTTTCTAATAAAAACTACTCTGTGTTTCAAATATTTTGTGTAAATTTTTCCCTCAAAATTAATGTTTCTTAAAAGAATGCAAGCCACAAGCCACTAAAGTTCCTGGTTTTTTTTAACCATTCTTTTTTTTTTTTTTTTGGCTGGGAAAGAATCACCCTGAGCTAACATCTGTTGCCGATCTTCCTTTCTCTTTTTTTTTCCTTCTTGAAAGCCCCAGTACATAGTTGTGTATTCTAGTTGTAAGTCCCTCTAATTCTTCTACGTGAGCCACCACCACAGCATGGCTACTAACAGACAAGTGGTGTGCTTTTGTACCCGGGAACCGAACCCGGGCCACTGAAGCAGAGCGTGCCAAACTTTAACTGCTAGGCCATCAGGGCTGGCTCTAAAGTTCCTGTTTTTAATCATTAACCTATGTCCCAGTTAAAATAATTTATACAATATTACATTTTAAATCAAGTTGCTAAAATCATGCCCCCAAAATTAAGTGCCTTTACTGTTATTGGGAACTTACCGTGAAATAAATCGAAGTAAATGCATTTGCCTGTATGAAAATAAACATTTTATCAAGTACAACTGTGGTGAAAAATTGAACTGATTTGTGGAAGTGACTGGGACTTTTATATAGCCATATGCCACTGTTTATCACATGAAACAGCACGCTTCTCTGTACACCTACAAAGAAAGAACATGTCCGAGCAGGCCTGATGGGCTCCCACTGACTTCGGGACGGCTAGTATCTGTGTGAATTCTCCTCTCTGCATCACTCATCGTGTTCACTAAAGCAAGCCAATTCTGGTCACGCACAGTCTCTAATCACTCACTCTCAAAAAAGTTTTCCAGTCCCTTTTGCGGAAAAAACTGAGTTTTGCTGACATGCAAAGCAGCTTCTGCGTATTAGTGGCAATGCCTTTTAAGACCTCCAGAAGAAAAACTCGGAGTCAACTGGTACTCCGGAAAGATGCAGAATGGCTGCCTGGGGTTACATCTCCTCTCCTGAGAGTTCCAGCGGCACAGCAGCCAAAGGGCGAGGTGTCAAGCGTCGGTCTCACGGAAGCAGAGTCCTCACGAAACAGAACTATCCAGACACTTTTGAAATCATCTTTATTTTGGTTGCAAAGACACAATTTACTTAGTTACTTAATATTTTATTTGTTCCCATTTGAAGACTCACAGCTTGCCATGTAAAACATTGCCTTTACTATCAAACAGCTATATAAGAACATTATAAAATACAAACTATAAACTAAGATAGTCCTCTTTACAGTTTTCAGATTAGTGCGTTAAAACAACAGTGATTTAAAAAGGCAAGTGAGTTAATTGGCAAACATCCAATTCCTTTTCCAATGAAGGATGCTACAAAATGGTATGCAAGGTAAAACGCTAAATTTTAAGGGTTAGGTGCTCAAAAACAACAATTGTGGGAAAGTTACTTGTCAAAAGTAATTTTGACCCAAGGATACAAAAGTAACCATGATTCTACAGGACATAAAGGAAGGTAATTAATTTTCCATGATAATACTGTGGAAATACACAGCGAATAACAAGTCGGGATCTTTAGAATTCTAAGACAGTAAGTATTGATTTGTCACACTCTTCCCCCAAGTTACTTTTGACATTTATAGTGACTACACATTCCCCAGCAAATGTCAGACTTACATAGAGCCTATGTAGAAACAATCTACCCTTAGTATTCTACTAGGCAATCTACAGTAAATGCTTCATATATACACATTGGGAGTATGAGATACACTAGGAAATGATTCATTGATTTCATGCAGAGTAAACAAAGGTCTTAAGACAAAACCAACCATAAAAGTTAAATAGACAATTTGTGCTGCTATGAACCAGAAAAAAAAGCACCACAAACAGATATGTTAATTTTTTCAAAATATTGAGACTATTTCCTCTGCTGGCCCAAATCAAAATTAAATTTGAGATTTTTAATTGAGGTTAATACAAATCTGGGTGCATGTTACACTGTGAGAGAAAGATGCACACAGAACGCACACACCTTGAGATTTACTAATTCCAAAAACTAAGTCAACTGGATAAATAAATTATACATGAAAGGCATATACAATGTGGGCAACGGCCTAACAGTTACGAGATTGAAAAGTATGGAAGTTATGCCAGCAGTGATATTTAGAAAAACTTTCTATATTAGAAAATATCAGATTTAATCCAGAGGAAACTTCCCCCCAAATAAAAATAACAAAATATGGGAACCATCCTTTATGCAATACCTTTTAAAAAAACAAACAAAAACAAACACAACATGATTACAGGAATCTTCCTACATAATTTAGATAATGTAGTGCGATAGTGTGCTCCTTCATAATTTTAGCGGCTCGCTCCCCATATGATGAGACTGATAATTACAACTCCGATGACAAGGACAAAAATGATGATGCACAGGGTTTTTCTGGATTTGCGCTGTAGATGCAAAAACCAAAAACATGTTTACAGATGGAGAGGAGCATCTCCATAGCAGCTAAAAATCATTCGGTTCAATCAACGGTAATTTATTGCCCTCAAAATTTTGGCTGTATTTTTTTGCTTCTCAAAAATCTCTTCAACGTACATATGACACTATTCTTTCAAAAAATATTCTTGAATTAATAGTATAATTCAGGGAGTAATTATTCAACTTTTGTTGGTAATTTTTCTGGGTGTGTGTTTGGGCTTCAAAAAGAAGACACAGAGAAATAAAAGTTACCGACTTAAGCAATAAACCGAGGTTATCTATGTATGAAAACAAAGAACAGCTTAAAAGTGTACATATTTTAAAACTTTTATCAAAAAGCTGCTCTTTAAAATGAGTTATGTGAAAGTATCAGCAAGTGTAAATGTTCGGCACTTTTTCCTAAATTTATTAGTTTCCAAAATCATTCCCATTCTTTAATATTAATGGAAATTGCATTCAAAATCTCAATACACAAATGAAAAAGTGCTAAAAAATTATAATACAGTCATTTAAAATACTAAGGCTAAGAGTTCTGTTCCATTCTTCATTCCGAGCCCAGTTGCAGATTTCTCTATTTCTTTAATGGCTTGTGTATCTCACAGCAACAGGCAGGAATCCTTTTTCTTACAAAGTAGAAAAATTTGTCAATTTACTTTGTGTCAACTGGCAGTACCACAAAATTTACAAAAAGATGTTTCTGACTCTGAAAACCACGAACACTTTCAGTATTCCACGTATTCATCTAATACTCCTTATATATTAAACGCGACTTCTCTAGAGTTTCCACATGTCATGCCTACAGGTTTTCCCCAGACCCTGCCTGGCTACCACTTGTTCCCACGTGCAGTGTACTTTTATGAACATCGTGGCTCTTCCACAGTTCCCCTGTTGACCAGGGCACCCTCCCTCGCGGCGGGCAGTGAGGTCCCGGGGTGCCACAGTGAAAGGCACCCATGACCTTCCTTTATGCTCAGGGTTCACCCATCCTATTTAGAAGCACCGTATTTTGCAGAGGCATGAGTTTAACATCAAGGCTTCCAAGGAGGACAACTGGAAAGCCTCTCTCTTCCCAACACTAGCGTGGCCTGGCCCTCTCCTCACCCCTCAGGGCCTGTGGAATCAAGAATGGGCGCAGCTCCAGCTCTGGAGGGGCAGCTTGGGAAGATGTGTCCCTTTCCCCAGGGTGGCCGTAGGCTTGCCCTTCCACAAGGAGGAGGAAAAGTAAAACTTGGGGATATGTCTACATCCCTCCAAAATCCAAAACCAAGACGAAATAACATGTAAGCCACTCACTGATGAATCCTGCTAGACACTAAGCTTGAGCAGTTATAACTGGTGGCCTTTACCGATTACTGTGTGCGCGTGTGCGTGTACGTGTGCAACTATTCGTGAATGAAACCCACAGTGCCTCACACAGTGACGTTTACTCTGCTGAGGTGGGTATCAGAACCTCACGCACAAAGAAGGTACACACGAGTCACTCCATCGGTGAAGACAAGCGGCTGTAACGCAGCACTCTACACAGCTTCACTGTTCTCTCTGCATCACAGGATACGCCGTGACTCGTCCAGTGAAAAAAACGGCATTGAAACAAACTACAGGGAACTTCCAAGGTTAGTTGGAAGTTCTACCATCTACCATCGCTTCCTTGCATTCATCGTCAGCTCCCCTGCCCCTCTACATTACTCATACTCACACAACAAAATCCTAACCTGTAACCATGTAGCTGAACGTGGATGTAAAAACGTGAAAAGCAACTGAAAACATCTAAGATGATGACAATATCTTAGATATTTTATAAGAAGGTGACAAGGTCTGAGAAAATAATTATGAACAACAACAACAAAAATGGAGTTTTAAAAGGGAAATTAAATCAAAGACTAGGGTGGTATTTAGGGGCTCCCAAAGAGCTCGGCCTTATCCTTGTTGAGTATCAAAGCACATGTCATAAGACACATTAATAGTTCGTGGTCCTATTGCTCGTAGCGTACTTAACACACACTTTACACCTGACACACACATGTGAACTCCCTCTATTAACCTGATTCACTTAAGAAATCAATTCACTCCTGGTGAAGGGCCTGCTGAACCCAGACACGAGAGCTCCTCAAGGACCCTGCAAGCTAACACCATCTCCACAGGACCTAAAGACACCTCTCTAGGACGAGGACCTCCGCCTCTTCAGTCCAGAGTGTCACTGGCAAAAATAAAGAAAAGAGAGAAGGGAACAGCGAGAAACGGGGGGAGAGGCTGCCCCAGAGGTTTCTGGGTTGGGATGTCACAGAGACAGCAGGGGCTGCAGGGAAGCCTGGAGTTCTCCACCGCTCCGCTCCTGACTCTGAACACGCAACTTCCCATCCCTGGGGACACGATTCTGGTTCAACCCCGAGAAGAAACAGGCTACACCCAGTTGTAAACTGACTGGCATACTTTCGACCTGGCTTCCACGCGATTTTAAAATTCAACATCTCCAGCCACCTTAAAGCTGGTTACACACACAGACACACAGTTAAAAGTCTAAGTTATAGGACAATCGATTACAGTCGATATTACCTGATAGTCCGCCGCCCTGGACAGCTGCTGGTTCGCTTGTTGAACGTGCACCTCTGCGTTTTCCACGTTGGCTTCTATGCTGTCTTTAAAATAAAACACACGCACGCACACACACACACACACGGGAAACTGTTAAACTTGTGTTGATGCTCCAGCAATAGAGCTGCATGGATTACTAGGTTTCACTCAAGATAAGATTAAACATGTTCCCTCTTCAAAGGTTAATACTAGTGGTGGATGGACAAAATTGAATTTTTTTTAAGATAGCTATAATTCTTCCCTATACTATTTCTCAGGTGATCTAAACAAGACACAGAAATTCGAAAAAAAGAAATGTGATCATCTTCATTACAAAACAAGTCCAGTTCCACCTGGTAACCCCTGAACAGCAGTCACCTGGTTTGCCTTCTCTGACGGCCAACTCAGTACTAGGCATCGGAATGTTACTGAGAGTAAATATAGAGACCCGAGAACCTCACTTGCTCTGTGGCCATCGTCAACCTACTTCTGTGCTGAGACCTAGCCATCCGTGAGGACGCACGTGGCCTTCTCAAGTGACAGTTTTCCTTCCCACCCTCCTCTGGCCTGGAGGTGGAGCAGGTGCCGCTTTGCAGCCCGAGAGACCCCTGTCTCTTCCTCCTCCCTACCAACTCTCAGTTTGAAAGCTCATGCTATCGAACTCATCCAACCCTCCTTGGGGCAGACATCTACAGATCTCACCGTCTCTTCTCAGTCCTTGAATATTTTAGCCCGACTCACTGATGTTCTCTTCAGTGCTTGTATCAAACATATTGGCGATTTCAATCTCCAATTGCTGACCTTCTAATACTCTGCTCTCTAAATCCCTCAAACACACATTTTTCAAACTTTGCCTGGTACCCTTTCTCAGCTGCCTGCCTCCATGATCACACCCCCTACCCGTCATGACCAGTAACTGCAGCTTCTCCACAATCTCAGTTTCAGTCTCACCTGCTATCCTTACAGTTCACTCGTTCTAAGACCCGACTTCACCGATCCCCACTTTCCCACTGTCCCTCACACACTTCATGTTCTCTCTTCCCTCCTTCGACCGTATCCACCAACTGCACGCAACAAGACCTGTGCTCTGCCTTCTCTGCTGTTGTCAGGAAGGAACTGTCCATGCTCCCAGCAGGAGCCTACCATTCCATTTGTGTACTTTCTCCCATTCCTTGCCACTTAACTCAAGGACCTCAGCCCAGCGGTTTTCCCCTTTCTTACTTACCATTAGCATTTCTTTCCCTCATGAATCATTCCTATCCATCTATACCTCCTATCTTAAAAACAAACCAAACCCCCTCTCATTTATTCCACATCCACGGCAGCTGTGCCCTCATGCTCTGGTCCACTTTCTAGCCTGACTCCTTCCAAGAGCTGTCAGTACTTGCTACCTCCAGTCGCTCTCCTCCCATTCTCTCTGCAGTCGACTTTCTCATGCTTTCCCCTCACTATTTCACCAACACAGCTCTCATCCAAGGTCACCTATGCCCTGCACATGGTTAAATTCAGCAGGTAATTCTTGATCCTGAGTTTACAACCTACAGCAGCATTTGAACGGCTGACCAGCCGTTGCCCATGAGGCACTTTCTCCACCTCATTCCAAAACAACACCTTCACTTGGTTTTCCTCGTCGTCACTGGCTACTCTCTCTTAGTCTCTTTTGTTGGTTCCTCCACAACTCTCTGGGCTCTAAAGCAGGAAGAAGCAAACTTGTTCAACAGAGGGCCAGATGATAAATATTTTAAGTTTTGTGGTTCATATGACTTCTGCCATATATACTCAACCACACCTCTACTGTACGAAAGCTGCCAGAGTTAACACACAAACGAATGGATGTAGTTTGCTGACCACACTCTAAAATTCACAGGACCCAGGATGAAGTTCTCAGACCCCTTCCTTTCTCTGTCTACACATTTTTCCTAGGTGACTTCACCTAATCCCAGGGCTTTAAACACCATCTATGTGCAGATGATCCCCAGATGTATACCCCAGCCCAGACGTCTCCCTTGAACGCCACATTCACCTTACCAATGCCTATCAAACCTTCACTTGGGTGTCAACTGGCCCCTCAGACTTAACATAGCCAGAAGTTAACGACTTACACCTGTCCAAACCTGCTCCGGTTACAGATTTCTCTGTCTCAGAAAAGGGCAACACCACCATTTTGTGGGCCAGGCCAAAACCTCAGAGTCATCCTTGAATTACTCTCTCAGACCCACATCCAGCTACTCAGGAGATCTTTTTGGCTCCACATTTAGAAAATATCCAGAATTCCATCACTTCTCACTTCGCTGCTTCCATCCTGATCCAAGGCAACACAACTGCTCACCTGGATTCTTTCAGCAGCCTCTCAAGTGGTCTCTCTGCTTTTGGCCTTGCCCTTGACAGTCTTTTCTCAACCTAGCAGCCAGAGTGAGCCTTTTAAAACCTAAGTCAGACTATAACACTGCTCTGCTCAAATCCTCCCATGGCTTCCCATCTATTAATAATAATAGAAGTCCTTACAACGGCTCAGGATCCTACACGATGCCAGCCCCCGTGACTTCTGACACCATCTCCATCTTCCTCTCTCTCGCGTCACTGACCAACGGTGTCAGGCGTGCTTCTGCCTGAAGGCCTTGGCGCCTGCTCCTCCTCTGCCCGGAACACTTTCTCTTACTTGCTCCCTTACTTCCAAGAAGTCTTCACTCAAATGTCACCCATGAGTAAGGCCTCACTGCCTGCCCTACATAAAGCGGCAACATTCTCCACCACCAGCAGTCCCAGCCCCCTGCCCCGGCCTTATCTTCCCCATTGCTTATCACCATTTACCTACTTTTCTCTCTCTTTTTTTAAAATGTCTCTCTCCTCCAATTAGATTACAAGATCCACAAAGGCAGAGTGTCTCTTATCTGTTGTTTAATTACAGCTGAATCCCCAATGCCTAGATTTGTGCCCAGATATAGCAGGTACTCAATAAATATTTGTTGGATGAATGAATGGTTTTTGAAATTTTACCCTGTGACCTACTGGGGCTAGAGAGGAGGGTAAGAATGGACAAATTATAGTTATATTAAGCTATAGGTCCAAGTATATCAACTGAACCAAATTCAGAAAATATATTAAATGTATCTTTAGACATACCCACAGGTATCTTCATATTTCAAAATTATCAACATGATCAGGATCCTAATCAACGCTGACAATTACACCTTAAATGAACTACTATTACATTTAAAACTTAAGGAGAGTCTTAGTCACTGATTTTAAGAATTCTTTTAAGAAAGTCTTAGCATCTAAATTAATCTACTAAATTAATCTACCAAAAAGGTATTAGAATGAGTGATCAGGCAAATGGCTACCTATTCCCTCTAAACTAAAAGACAAGATAACATGCACAATTATAAATAGCACAAGTTTCCCAAAAAGTCCTGGGTGTGATGAGAATTAAATTGGGATAAGACTGAAATCAGAAGTCCTGGAAATAGCTAGAATGACGTTACATGATGCCTTCCATGATCTCAGCAGCAGTAGGCCCTGATTAAATTTGTGGCTTCTGAAATAAATGAAGCTGGTCCTTTCAACCATTAGGACCCAAAAACGAGATCTGCTTTAGACAATGCCAAGGGTGATGCTTTGTCTGTTGTAGAGACTGTGTTTCTGATTCCAGAGGGACCGAAAGAGAGAGAGGGAGCAGTTACTCTTGCTGGATAAGTTACCACAGGTGAATCGCATGCAGCTCGCTCCCACCTCATGAAATCTAATCAGTAGGTCTTACCTATCATGTCTCCTTGCTCATGAATCATCATTCCCAAATCTTTAAATATTTCATTAATATCCATAATATCAGCCTAAGAGAAAAAGGCACATATTACTATAATTAGAAATTCAGTGCCCAATCCACAAAAGGGGAAAATAAAAAAAACCCAAATCACCATTCACCCATAGGCAAGCAGGCATCTAGACTTCACACAAATGTTGGAAACACCAGGAAACTATTTTACATGAGCAATCCCCAGTAACTACACCGCGAATACAGTAACCAGTTCTCTAAAATAAGTCTGTGACATTAAAAGTATCAGGCAAGGCAGGATGGGAATGAAGGATCTATAATAGAGAAGGGTTGTGGGTCACTGAGTTTATGTCACTCAATTTGATTAGTTTGTTATCACAAGCAGTATTTCCTGATAAGAGTGTAAGATATTCTTGTTATGATATATTTCTAGTAAAAATTTATACATCAATTTGACAATTTAAAAGAATAAAATATTAGGTATAAATTTAAAGTCCCACATTAATAAATTTGAATATGCAATGGAATACTGATGAATAAAGAAGTTATAAATTTACTTTTCTTCAATATATGCTAACTATTATTTTGCCTGATTAAAAAGTAAAGTTTAAATATTTTATCCAGGAGGGGTGGGGCAATTTATATACTCATCCTGTGCCTTAGGTTCCCCATCTGTAAAATGGCAATGATTATGGCATAGTTAACCAGTTCATGGAGGTTTTATAAGTGAACGAGAATATTAACATAAAGAATTTATCACATAGTGCTTGGCACATGGAAGCCCTCAATAAATTGTAGCTGTTGTTAGCTATTATCAGTTCACCTTTGAGGGAAATAGGTAGGTTCCATAGGAAGAAAGGGTTACTAAATTGTTTAGATCTCTTTGATGTCATAAACATACTAGAGAGAAATAAGACACATTTAAAGCCCTTACAGAATAAGACTTCTGTAAATAATACAGAAGCCTTATTCACGCAGGTGTGATGTGTATCATGTGCCATGGGAGCCATCCAGACTCTCTGACCAGTTATTTATCTATTTATCTCTAGACTGATATTTTCTCAATGCTAGGTGACCTGGGAACAAAAAAACAAAGTTGGAGTGGAAGGAAGTTTGTTCTCTCACTGTAGCACAAATTCTAAGATTATTATTATTACTTTATTTTTATTTTTTTTTGCTGAGGAAGATTGGCCCTGAGCTAACATCTGTGCCTATCTTCCTCTACTTTATATGTGACGCTGCCACAGCATGGCTCGACAAGTGGTGCATCAGTGCACGCCTGGGATCTGAACCTACGAACCCCGGGCCACTAAAGCGGAGCACGTGCACTTAACTGCTTGCGCCACTGGGCCGGCCCCAGATTATTATTTTTTAAGGAAGGGAATTATTCTAATTTATATGAGAAATGCCACCAAATTGATATATTTATTTTGTTTTCTTTCTCGACCCCTCTCCCAGCATTATCTAAGCATCTCAAGGACAAATGCACTAAGCACAGGGCAGCAGTCCAACTTTGCAATGTAAAGCTTACTTCAAGTTGCCTGATAGACGACTCTCTCTCGTGAATAAGGCGGAGGTCATCTTCCGTAATTTCTTCGTCCTGCACCTGCACTTGGGGTTGAGTTTGGCTAATAAAAAGAAAAGAATACGGAAAAAAGAAAGACTGTTACTAAAACAATGAGACTTCCTTCTTATTTAAGAAGTACTTACTAAGCAGAATATTTTTTCTTCGAAGTCAGACAATTGCTCACTTAAATTCTCAGAATATAACAAATATTAATCAAATTGTATTCATGCTTCATTTCACTGATATTATTTTTCAGAGTTAATTAATTATTGGAAGCTATATTTGGCAGCTGACTATTTCTTTTCAGTTGACTTAAACCTCACAACATGGGGGAATAATCTATATCAAATAACAATTAAGTCAATAATATTTATTTGAATAAATAATTATCAAGTATTATTGCAATATTGGAATATTTTTGTATACTTATACATTTTATAATAAATAATTATTTTGAAAAATTTTCAAATTTATTATTTGTTTTCTATTTATAAACAACTTAGGACAGTTATGATATAATAGACTGAAAGCTTTAATTCTGTCCCAGGGACAATAATGTATAAAATGTATTCGAAAAATTCTCTTTTGATCTGTATAATGTGTTATACTTCTTACCTTTCCCAGGACACAAGGTTCTTTTCTTTTGAGCTCTCCTCAGGAAAACCACCCTGAATAATTTAGTAATAGAACGGATTGAGAAGGGGCAAAGAAAAACACACTACACTCACATTTTCCCTCATTATAATCTAACCTGATTTATATGCACTCGAGTGTATGTGTAGAGAAAGCGAGACACGTTCTTGTTGTAAGATTTTAGGTCAACTACTTCAAGTAATAACAACATTATATCCCAAGCCGACAAGGAAGGAATTCATTAAATATTCTCAAGGGCCAAATAATACATATTATTTGAGCAAACGTAACATAGTCTTGGAACTTCTACATTAAGGAACAACTTGTGATAGTTTCTAAGGGAATTTAAAATTAGATTAAGTCAAAATTCCACTCTAAATTACCCTTTTGTTGATTTTCTCCAGGTGTACCTTCATTTTCAGTATTCATACGTTACATTCACAATGTTCGTTTCCATCACTGTCATGCAAGCAGGAGTAAAGTGCTCTCTCCACTAGCATGGACACAAAGAAACAGCCTCAAGTTGAAGCAAACCTGGGAATACCACTTAGGATTTGACCCTCAATCTCTCCTGACAAAACGTTCCCATATTTTTATATAATCTATAATCTTTTGTCCCAGGACATGGACAAAATCATCACAGTGACACATAACTATCATCCTTCTTAAAAACTGAGCGCTTGAAAATAACTATTCAAATACTGATTTCCAAGATATTCACAGGTCTTGGTGACTTAAAAAACAGGCCAATGCCGTCTTTTCAGGGATCCTTAGAGAGTATCGTGTTTTTTTACTTTTTAGTAATCTCTTTTAAATACTTACAGATACTCTGGAACTGGCTCTTACTCGAGCAACAAACTCTTTCTCTTTCTCAGCTGCTTGCCTCTGAACTTTCTGAAAGTTTGTCAGCGATGTCGTGAATTCAGCCACTAAGCGATCCTTCTGTATTTTCCTTTGACGCTAGAGGAAAAGGGGGGAAAACCTACTAGAATCAAGCTGTGAAGTTCTATAGAATTTGCAAAAGCTGTTTCACCACTAGCTAGCTCTTTATTTAACTTTGAAATTTTCACTCACTCTCCAATTACAGGGCCTTACTGATTAACTCTCAATAACATTTCGACAATATGTTCAAATACTGTGTATATTTACCTTGAGGCAAGAGGCCCATAAGGCTGGATTTCTCACCTCAAATTTTCATCCTAAAAAGTGGGCCATGATTTTGAGGTTATTTTAAAGTAGCTCTTATTTTTTTTTTTTTTAGTAAAATAAAACCTTATGCTCTTACCTAAGTAATAACTTCCGCTAAGTAAGCACAGAAAGAAATATGTGCCCCTAGGGACCCTCACATCTTGAATGGGTGTGCCCATTGCATGAAGTCAGCACTAGAAAGCCAGGAAACAATTACTCAGGAAGTACTTTCTCAGCACTGACTTAATTACGGGTCGGGGCATTTGCATGGAAATAATTTTTGCTTTACTGAACCACAGGATACTACCTGGGCAATTAAGTACAGTTCTGTGTTCTGTGAACTAATCTGAAATACAGTTTTTCCCCCTAAGCTCCTTTCTAGCATAACAGTTCAAAGATCCTACAGTGCATTTGCTTTCTCTCTCATTCAGTACATCCGCAATGAGTCTTAAAGCTTGATACCTGTTCACTGGGGGTGGTGGGCAGGGATCCGAATTCTTTAATGTACTTGTCTGTTTCTTTGGCAAGCTGGTTAGTATACTGCTGCTTCTGTTGCCTGAAGTGAGAAAATATGCATTAAGCCGAAGAACTAAGATATTTCTTTAAGCTATGACTCTGTCACTTGACTCAACCCTGATAAATAGTTTTATAAAAATCACTGTTTTACAGACTGGCTCCAAATTTTCTCTATGAAAATAAAATTTTCATGTTCTATTTTTTGATAAATTTTGAGCAAATATTATATGGAAGGTCCTTTACTCACACAAGGGGGTAACCAAGCTTGGAGAAATAAATATCAGCAGCCATTTAGACAGGAAGATGACTCAAACCAACGCGAGCTTGTCAGATGTCTGATGTCTGGCATATTGGGGGCGTGGGAGCCTTTTACCTGCATCCCACAACTGGGGGGTCAGCTGTGTAAGTAAAGAAGATTTGCTGCCTTAAACTGTGCCCAGTTCCCAGGTCTTTAGGGTACATCCAGCCTCTCATATTTCTCTACCTGCGCATTTATAGCCTATAGATACTTAAAAAAAAAAAAAAAAAAAAAAA